ATAAAAATATCAAACTCAGTAAATGTTGATCCGATGACGGTAATAAAGAGTGGAGGGCATATCCAATCATTGAAGTATCTAATGAAAGGAAGTGAAAACAAAAATCCCCTTTGTGACGTAGCTAGGTTTTTTGAAATTTTGCTTAAGGGAAACCCCTCAAAAAAAAAAAAAAAAAAAAAAAAAAAAATTGACAGGAGACGAGAGACAGAGAGAGAAAACGCCAGAAAATGCTCAGATGTTCGTACGTATATGCTGTGTTTTGTTTCACACTTCATTCAAAAATATAGTCACAGTATTGGTCAAAAAAGGGTTCAAAAAAGAGGTGCGAGGATTGGAAATAGAAAGATAGACGGTGAGGGTCACTCGAAGCCGAAGAACACGAAATTAAATAGAGTACATATGAATATATACACATGTACTACTGGGGAAGATAGGGAAGGAAATAGACAGGGGATAGTAACATTTAAGGATGATAAAGTGCGTCAAAATATGAAAATGGCGTGGTATATCAGTGAAATGAGTCAATTGAGAGCAGCGGGCACACTATCAATTTCCCTCATTCGTTTTTGGAGAAATTTAATACAGCACTTTACAAGGTGCTCTGGCGGTCTATATAGAAGTCGCAACGCCTTTTTAATGCTCCAGGCAGCCTTTTGGTGGAAAAAGAAAAGTTTGCTTTTCAATATGCGGATGAGCCATCCTCCTCGCTCATAATCAGCACTTGTTCGCCTTCGTGTTGCATCCAGTGGATAATGTTTCTAAGGTATTCATAGGTGAGCATCGTCGTCATAGCCGCTGGCACAGCGCGGAACAAATTCGTTCCAATCCCAGCGTAGAACGCGCGCCAGCCCTCCTCCATCAAAATAGTCTGGCACGTGCGAATTACGCCACGATATCGCGGACGGTTGCGCATCCCATCTGAGGAGGACGCACCCGCACCAGTCCCTGGCGGCCTGCCGTGATCCTGCGGCTGTTCAAGTCCACCTCGAAATGCAATTCCTTCTGATGAAAAGGCCGGTGAGGATCTTTGTTGTGTTTGCAGTCGGGTTCTAAGGACTTCGTGCGGGTATGTTGCTGTGCTGGCGCATACTTTACTAAGAAAAGTGGCTGCTGAGATTCCTGTCCAGTGGGGATAACCGGCATCTGGGTGTTCACCGATTCCAAAGCCAGTGAAAGCCATCTTGAAATATTCATATAGTGGAAACTGAATGGCGACATGTGAAAGTCCGAGGAGTGCGGGAGTGAGGCCAGAGTAAAAAGCACGGAGGCCTTCACTCGCGTACATCTTGCGTGCCGCATCCAATGTGTTCTTGTAGTACCATGGAGCTTGATAACCGTTACTAGCAGGTCGAAAACCCTGTGACATGAGCCTCGTCTTGATAACCCATATTGGGTTTGTTGCTACTGTTGAGCAAGTGCCAGCTGTGAGTGATGCGTATGCTCGGGCTAACCACCAGTTATCTACAAATAGTCATGAAAAAAATCAGCAAGCAGATCAACGGATAGAAAAAAGAAGTGAATCACGCAGACCTGTCTTTTGGCAGAAATATTCGCGGGACCTATCGTAGACCGTCAAATAGACAGCCCATGTGGGAAGATAACCCAGCAGCATCGGACCCAGCCCCCTATATAGCCCTCGAATACCTTCATCTCGCCATATCATCTTCCCCGTCCCGAACATCCCCCGATATAGTGTTCCGGACTCAATCAGTTTGCCATTCCGACGGAGTTGAAACCCTCCTTGTGCTTGTAATTTTGTCTTTATCACATCCAGCGGGCACGTCACGATACCCGACGCAACACCAGCGCTAGCCCCGCAGAAGGGCGTAATGTACGTCTGAGGAATCCGTGTGGAATATACCTGTAGACTTTTCAAAGGAGACGATCCTGGAGGCGGAGTCGCCCCGGAATGTAATGTAGGAGTTGTCGATTGGTTGTCAGAATTTGAGATCCCTTGTTGCGAGGGAGAGCCGCCAAGAGTTCTTGACGAGCTGGTACGGCCCATAGACATAATGTCGATTGACGACAAAGGGTGCGGGGATCTCAAATCCTTAACGATCACCGCCACAACATGGACGAAAGAATGCCGTCGTGCGGGGACGAGAACCGTTACTTGAGAGGTTGAATCTGGTAATTATATACCTTGTTTTTTTAAGAGGACCCACTGTGTATCTGTTAATGTCGGCAACAATTATTCTCTAACCCTCTGGTTTATCAGGCAGGTTTAGATGAAATCCTTTTGGCGTAGATATAGTCTTGTTAAACCGCAGCGCCTGCGGGTTCGTTACGCTCACACAGCTCCTAGCAGGAGCGGTGCAACTTAGCGATCGACCATACCCATGCCACAAATGATAGAGAACAGCGGTAATAGGAGCGGGGAGGCCAGCGGAAAGTGACTTGAGCTGAGGATAATAACCAGGCCGGAAACAGATGACGTGAGTACGAATGAGGAACAACCGCAATGGCGTGGAACGCAATGGGAAAGGAAAAGGCAAAGAACTACGGACGTTGTCAACGGCCCCTCCCAACGTGTTGACGGTCTTGATATTCTTGGTCGGAACCAGGTCCGGTCACGAGACCGCTAGCTCCTTCCAAGGCGGCTCGATTACTCAGCTTGTGAACAACGATCTTCTATCCCAATCGCATCCCACATAGGCTGCAATTTACCCACGCTGGCCATTGCGCTACTCAAATACCGATAAGACGTTTGTTGACTGCCCGGTCCTCCGCTATACCATGTCTGCCCCTTCCCTCATCAAACAAATCAACGCCCGGCCATGGCTCAAGCGGATGATGCTGCCGCTCGCCAACTGGCACGCCAATGCTTCCGGATACAGACAAATGGGACTGAGGTAATTATATCTCCAACCTAAGCTCATACAGAGCATCTACGGGATAGCATAAGATGCGGTATTCGGAATCCGGGGATGTGGGATTTTCGGGCAGGAAGGATTGTGAAGCCAATTGCTTGATTTTGGACAGATTTCGACGGATAAAATTGCGGCTAACACACAATTTCAATGCTTTTCATATAGAGCCGATGACCTGATCCCAGAAGAGAATGACACCGTCCAACTGGCGCTTAGAAGACTTCCACCCAAGGAAGCCTACGACCGCGTTTACCGCATCCGACGCGCATTCCAGGTCCGTTTAGCGCCTTTATTTCTTCGCATACGTCCCGCTATTCAAAATTGAATTGAGTATAGAAGGCAATGAGAAAAAACATGAGAGAAATGTAGTTTGGCTAACATGTGCACCTTCAAAAAACAGCTCTCCATCGAGCATCAGCTCCTCGCTGCCGAACAACAAACCAAACCAGAGGAGGTGCGCACCGCCTTAGTCTATTTCCGCCCTGCCCATTTTTGTTTTTTCAATACCCTCCACTGGACAGTCTCCATTGAAGCCTTGCCGGTTGCCCATGGGGAAAAAAATAGATATATAACTCCGTCCACTCCGGAGCTTAAATTCACCCTAGATATATTTATCCATTTTCACAATAGACCATTTCAAACAAACACTAACCACCGATTATCAACTCCATTAGGATGTCGAGTATCTCAGCCCCATCATCCGAGAAATCGAACGCGAGAACAAGGAACGGGAGGAACTCGATAACCTTATCATCAAGCGGTAAAAAATTATATAATCGCCTATAGAAAACAGTTGTAAGGTGCCGGGATGGATGAAGCGCTACCTGGGTGGAAACGCCCTTTACCGGCATCTCGAAAGCTAAAGAGATGGAAATGCGACCCAACTGCCATCCCGCCGCTCTGTCCATTTTGTTAATTTTTGGACTGGGGTAATTGTCGCAGTGATGGAGCGCAGTGATTGGCCTGGTTTGTGTGATTAGGGGAGGGGAAACGTTATATTGGAGAACAAATGCTTTTACTATTGTACTGTACAGATCTACTATACTTTCATAGATGGAATGGGATGCTTTAATCCCTTTAAACATCAATTCACCCCACGCATCAATGTCGGCGCTCAGC